CTGCCAAGTATAAAAATAGTTCTTCTCTACGTATTGGTTTTAACAATACTGGAGCTGTTATCAGGTACCTTTTCAAGTTGGCTAAGGTGACTTCGCACTCTTTTGTCTACAAAAAATTTGTGGATTTCTTCAATAAACTAAAAAATGGTTTATACTCATCTAAACTTCGGCTAATGAACCGATTAAGGGCTGCTGCCTTGCCGGTCAAAACTTGGACCTGTTTGGCCGATGTTGGGCTTTTTAAGTCAATGATAGCCTTGATCTGATCTGGGCTTGCTTCAACGCCTCTTCTGGTGACCAAGTATCCAAGGAAGTTACCAGACTCGACTGCAAATGTACATTTCAAAGCACTGAGTCGGAGCCGATATGTTTTCAAGATGTCAAAAACTATCTTCAAGTCAGCCAAATGGTTCCCAAGTTCTTTGGTCTTTACGACCATATCATCAATATATACTTCTACTGTCTTACCAATCTGATGTCTGAACATTTTAGTCACCAACCTCTGGTAGGTTGCCCCTGTATTTTTCAACCCGAACGACGTTACTCTGTAATAGTACAGCCCTTTTGGGGTGATAAATGCAATCTTCTTCTCATCAGGGGGATACATTGTTATCTGGTGGTATCCCCTGTAAGCATCTAGAAAGCTCATCCTTCTATATCTTGAAGTGGCATCCACCAGTTGGTCAATTTTTGGCAGAGGGAAACTGTCTTTGGGACAAGCCTTGTTCAGGCTAGTGAAGTTCACACATACCCTCCACTTTCTATTCTTCTTTTTCACAACCACTATATTGGACAGCCAGGTAGGGTAGTTCACCTCCCTGATGGCCTGGGCTTCCAATAGTTTGTCTACTTTCTCCTTAACTACCTCCACATGTATTAATGTTGGCCTTCTTGCTCGTTGAATGATGAGTTTAGCTGACCTGTCCACATTGAGTTTATGACAAGTGACCTCGGGGTTAATGCCTGGCATCTTATAAGGCGTCTAGGTAAACACCTCTATATTTGCTTGCAAGAATGCCTCTAACTCATTTCATCCTCCTCGGCTAAACCTGAGCCGAGAAGAAAAAAACGCTCTCCATCACCTTCTCTTACTAGATTCTTCTTCAAAACTTCCTCACTTTTGTTGACTGGTTCTTTGCCGACATCATCTAGGACCTCCATGTCCTCGTCTTCAATTTCTGCTATCTTTGTTTCTCGTACATTACAGGTAGGCTTCATTGCTGCCATGGAACAATTTTTTACTTACACCTGATCCCCTCTTACCTCTTCAATCCCCTGCTCAGTTAGAAAACGCAGCAACTGGTGCAGAGTTGAGGGAACAACCCTCATTGCGTGCAACCACTGCCTTCTTAAGATAACATTATAAGGGGAGAGGGTATCAATTACTGTAAATTTAGTTTTTACCTTCTTAGTGCCTGCCTGCACCTCCAAACTTACGACTCCGAGAGGCTATGTCGGCGTCCCATTGAACCTAACTATAGGGCTGTTGGATTGTTCCAAGTCATCTGGGTGGAGGATGAGCTCCTTGTAACATTTGACATACATGATGTCACAAAAGCTACCTTGGTCAATTAGAATGCACTTTATTTGGCATTCTCCAATCTTGAGGGTCACTACCAAAGCATTGTTGTGTGGATGCTGTACCATGTCCAGGTCAACGTCAGTAAAAGAAACCATAGGTCCCTGGTACTCGTTTGTCCTAGGCCTCTTTTCCTGGACGTGCCACACATGCTGCAAGTGCCTTACTCTTTGGGTTTCCCCTCGTATGTCATTCTCATTGACTTCGAGTGAATCGCATTGATTACCCAGGGTCTATCTGCTTGTTGTGGTGGTGAGGGTGGTGCTGTCGATGCTGGAGGAAACCTTGCATGCTTCTCTCTAGTTCTGGCCTTATTCACTAGGTCTCTCAGGTGGCCTTGCTTGACTAGATCCTCCAAGTGTGTTTTCAGGGCCCTACATCCCTACGTCAAGTGTTCATCCTCATGATGGTAAGCACAGTGCTTCCCAAGGCTCCTTCCCATAAATTCACCAGGGATTTTTTCTGGTGCTCCTTAATATGGCTGATTCCTGATTCTCTCCAGAACTTTGTAGACCAGGATTCGGAACACAGTGGTGACTACCTGTGCAGCTCTCAACCCTGTTTCCTGTCTGTTAAAGCCAATTTTGCCTCGGCCTCGCTTCGGCGAGCTGTTTCTCTTTTCATGTGTTTGGTGTCTTTGCTCCTTGTGTATCTTTTTTTACTCTGGCATATTTCTCAATTTATGCCATGAGTTCCTCCATACTCTTTGGTAGAGTTCTTGCAAGTGACTGTCGTAGTGGGCACTCATCCTCCAGGCTGTTTTTGAAAAATACGACTATCAACTCTTGATTACATGTCGGTATTCGGTTGAACACCTCGTAATACTGTTTGGCATAAGCCCCGAGGTTCTCATCTTCGCCAATTTTCAAAGCCAGCAAGTAATCAACCTGTAGTGGCTGCAACTTGTTCGTGACAAACTTGACCACAAACATTTCGGCCAGGCTTTCCCAACTCTTCACAATTCCTTTCGGCAACTTGTGAAACCAGTCCGACGCAATCTCCCTAAAGAACGAAGGGAACACCTTGCACAGCAATTGCTCATTTCCCCTATATAAAGCCATAGAATTTAAATACAGGCCAACGTGAAAGTTTGGATCTGACTTACCATTATAAATATGGAACCTCGGCATGTTGAACTTCTTTGGAGCTTCAAATGTATCTAATTCCCTTGATAATGGTGTCCTCGGCTTGACGGGTGATGTGACCTCAGCGTTGAGTCGCTTCCTCTGGAGATAGTTTCTTAAATCCTCTTTCATTCGGCTGGGAGCTCGGCTATCAACAGATTTCAGCCTTTTTGGTGCATTGCTCCCGATGTCATTGCGTGTCCTCTTGGACTTCTCTTCATTCTCTATGTGAAAACATAGGCCTTCCCCTGGATATACCGAGGTTCTTTAACATAAGTACCCTTCGTACGAGGCGTCCTCTGCGTCTCACCTCTTACTGACTTAGTTCGCCCGACATCTCGTGATGTCTGGTGCGAACGTTTCTTTTCCTTGTCATGCTGCAGGACTACTGGGATTGCTTTCTGCCTACCTTTATAGGCATCAGTTTTGGCCACGGGCATCGGTGTATCCAGTAATGGATATGGTGGCTGCATTACGTTGTTCTGCATCATAAAATGGACCATTGCTTGAAGGTCAGCTAACTTTTTCCCTATTTATTTCATCTCCCCATCCCTTCTCAGACATCTATTCTTCCATACCTGGAGGTCACTTTCGTAGTAGTACTCACCTCAGCCTCCCTTCTTCGGAGCGTTACCCTATTTGCCGACATCCTTCTCCTCGGGATTCAGATCATATGCTCTCTCATTACGGTTTCCTCTCCGATGTTAGGATCTACATGTTCACAATTCTCACTGTTGATGTCGTCTCCAAAGTTTTCTTCCTACACGTTGTTGGTCATCTATTCTACTTAGGTTTCCACAGATGACGCCAAATTGTGAGTGTTGATTTTTGACTACACAACTAAACGGGGAACTCAGCTGGAGAGCACCGACAGAATTGATTAAGCTCAACAACCTGTAACAAGAAGATGAGAATCCAGCGGTGGTTCATCCACCTGGGGGCACTTCGACAATCAAGTCAATAAAACAAATATCTCTCACAGATAGCAAATAGAGCTTAAACTCACAAGAAATAACTTATCTATGACCCACGATGGTGCCTTGCTTTTGTAACTAGTAGTGACCTAATCCCTTTAGAAGCCTCACTTCTATGGACTCAGGTTCAATGCCTATCCTGGACCCTCAGCCAAATAGAGATAAACTCTTCTTAAGCATTATCCCTATCCAGATTGAGATCCTCTCTAGTTTTAGGACTCCTGTCTCTTATCTGCTTATCCCAAATTCCAGTATCCCCGCAGATTACCTCGGCTTAGCCGATATCACCTCGGCAGTATGACCAGCCCACGTGGCACCTCGGTTGACACTTTAGCATCACCATAACCACGTGCGATCATTTATAAAATGTGTCTCCACAAATACCATTGTTATACATAGATAAAACAAATTAAGCCAAATAAAAAAATATCTTTTTTATATTTTAATTAGAAAAAAAAAAGTAAAGAGATTGGTTAGAGTTAGGCCAAGTTTGGCAACATCAAAATAATCCATCTTTTTATCTTTTTATCTTTTTTTTATCATATCACCTCTCTATTTTTCTGCACATCTTTTCATAAAAAGACAAAAAGTACACTTATTTAGGTCATCCCAAACAACCCCTTATTCTTAGCCCCCTCTCCCCTCCCAACACACATAGGCACATACAAAAAAACACTTACATGTGGATTCTAATAAGTAGATTTAAGGGTTGTTTGGAATGTTTTAAATAAATGTATTTTTTGACTTTTTATAAAATATGGGTTGGGTTTGAAGTAATGTGATAAAGAGATGATGTGACTTAAATAAGATGATGTGATTTAAATAGGATAGTGACTTTTTGATTATTTGAATTTTTTAAGACACCCCAAACAAGGCCTTATTGTCCAATATGTCATATTATAATTAATAATATTTTTCATCAAATGCCATTAAAAAAAAGTCACTAATTAATAAATTTTAACGACAATTTAAAATTTTTGTCACAAAATATATCACTAATTATAAATTTTAGCGATAGTTTAAAAAAATATCAAAAAAATATTAATTTTTAATTTTCAGCGACAGTTTAAAAAATTTGTCGCAGATAGACGTCGATAATTGTTAATTTTAGAGATAATTTATAAAAATCATGATAAAAAGTCATTAATTATCAATTTTTAATGACATATGCAAACAATCTTAAAAAAAAATTATTTTTAATGGCGATTTTAATAAGATTTATTTTCAATAGTATTTAATGAGAATTAACTTCAATTAGGACATATTAATAGTTTATCCAAAAAAAAAAAAACAAACTCTAAAATAAAAAAATTTCCAAGCCAACCCTAAAAATTTGAAACAAGTTTTATCCTTTCCGCCAAGAACCAGGAGGAGAAGCAGAAGGAGAAAGCACTGTTCAAGTTGATTCAAACATTTGGGTTTAGGGCAAAAATCCGTATCTGCTTCCTCATACAAGCATCCAAGAAGAAGAGCAATAGCAATGTCGGACATTTTTCCAGACGAAATCATGGTTGAAATCGTCTAGAGACTACCCACCAAATCCCTAATCAAATTCAGGTCTGTTTCCAAATCTTGGAACTCTCTCATTACAAGCCCTAATTTCATCAATACCCACCTCACTCACTCACTCACTCACTTCCAATTCCTACATAAACAGCTATGATAATCTCCCACTCATGATAGTTAGGCAATGTGTTTTTGACAAATCCCTACACCCTTTCTTCAGCCCAAACGTTTTCAGAAATTACTCTCTCTCTCGGTCGTCGCCGCTGCCCATTGCCACCGCCGAGACCTGTTTTGCTTTCGCCGCCGCATCCGCCGCCACGGAGAAAAGCTCCCAAAGCTGTTGACGAAGATCTCTACAGGATCTCGCCGGAGCTCCTCCACCGAAGAGTGAGTTTATTCCTCTGCCCTTTTCTTTTCCTCCTCGTTTTTGTAAGCTACATGCCTCAATGTCTCTCTCTCTCTCTCTCTCTGCAACTTGTTTCTTTCCCTTTCTCCATCTCCATTCTATGAAACCCTAGACCGAAATCCCCTTCTTTGAAACTGCCCCTTTCATCTTTGTGAACTCACTGGGTTTATAAAATTAGGAAAATATGATTTGAATGGGTTTAGATTTTTTTTGTTTGTTTGCCTTGTTAGTTGTTTTGATTCCATATATATATATACTTGAAATTTGGCTTGACTGTGTGAAATTTGATGTGTGGGGAATTGAATTTTGTACTCTTGTAACTGATATGAGACTATAATTTTTTATTTATTTATTGAAATCTGTTTATGTTTCTAACAATTACTCTTGTGGTGGCTTGATTTTCCTATGAGAAAGAAAATTAAAGTGGTTTGGGATGTATTAACTTTAGCAATTTTCTAGGAATTGTGGGAACCGAGAAACGAATGAATATTTTGATGTTACTGTATAAACCCATTAATGTTTTGTAGTTCACAAACTCACGGACAAACAATTGGATATTGTAAGTTCATCAAGATGCATACAGAGGAGTTGATGCAATTTGATTTGGAATGGTTAATATTTGTTCTTGTAGAGCCAACTTATTTCATGGAACTAATTGATTTATTTAAAAATTCAAGAAGCCACAAGAATTGTTATATAGAAGATATTTTTAGCAATTTTTTGGGAACTGTGGAAAGTGAGAAATGGATGTTTGTGTGATGATGGTCATCTAGATTGGATCAAGGTTCAAGAAAGAATTATTTCAAATGTGCCTATATGATTTAAATCCAATAAACATTTGAAAGTCTTCTCTGTGAATGACTTTATGTTCAATTATCAGAGTATTAAGGATTGTCCACCTCATTAAATGTACATATCATGTACACCTTACTTTGAAACCATTAGATATCTATAAATTAATCTGAACCATAATTTCATTAAAAAAATTGAATAGCTTCTCAACTGGTAACTTTTTTTTTATTTCCCTTTTACTGATTGTGCTTCCCCCCTCGCCACGAAGGCTCACGTTGTTTTGCCAAAACCCTCATGTTATTTGGTTCGAAACCCTCCCGTTTTCGGACACAACTCTGGCGATCTTGTCTGCCCTAGAAGACCATTCCGCGAAATGCATCTTTTTTACTGATTGTTCCATATCTGTTTTCTGCATATAAAAACTTTTCCTGAAGGTATGAATCTTTGACTATGTCTCTCTTTGCAACTCGTTTCTCTCGCCTTTCTTCAACTGTATTCTATGAAACCCTAGACCAAAATCCCTTTTGTTAGCCCTATTTCCTTTCCCGATTCTTGTTTCCCCTTCTTCAAAATTGCCTCACTTGGAGTGGTTGCTTTCTAAATTTAGGAAAATATGATATGAATAGCTATTGTTTTTCATGTTTGTTTGATTTGTTTGTTGTTTTGATTCCATATATATAGATATATACTTCAAATTTGTCTTAGGTTTGTAAAATCTGATGTGTGGTTAATTGAATTTTGTACTCATGTAACTGATATGAGACTGCAATTTATTATTTATTTGTTGAAATCTGTTTATGGTAATAACTTTTCATTTCTTGTTATGTTAATACTTCTAATATTGGTGCTTTTGGGTAATGGTTGAATGTAATATTCCCCTTCTGGATTAATAGTTGCATATTTTACCTCTGCATTTGAGGATTTTTATTTGATTGATATACAATTCTTCTCATGATTGGATGCTGTTGGTGTATTATCTATGCACATTATTTTAATATTAATTTTATATTTGTTTGGAATTCCATCAGATTGAGTAAGGGTCTGCTTAACATTCAACTCAATGTAATACATAATGAATGGGAAAATTAATGACTTTCTATATAAATTTAGAAAAAAAATATTCTTTATTATACCAACACGCGCAACACACCCGATGTATAATATTAAAAAATTCAATGGCTTTCTGTTGTCCATCAGATTGAGTAAGGGTCTGCTTAACATTCAACTCAATGTAATACATAATGAATGGGAAAACTAATGACTTTCTATATAAATTTAGAAAAAAAATATTCTTTATTATACCAACACGCGCAACACATCCAATGTATAATATTAAAAAATCCAATGGCTTTCTGTTGTCCATCAGATTGAGTAAGGGTCTGCTTAACATTCAACTTAATGTAATACATAATGAATGGGAAAACTAATGACTTTCTATATAAATTTAGAAAAAAAAATATTCTTTATTATACCAACACGCGCAACACACCCAATGTATAATATTAAAAAATCCAATGGCTTTCTGTTGTCCTAAATGAAGAGTAAGAGATGAAGAGTTTATAAAATAGTGATAAAATGTAAATCACATTACCGGATAAGAGAAAATTAAATGCATAACAACAAAAAACAATTTCAAATATATTTTGCAAAATATTAGAATTTAATAATTTTATTAGCTGTCATTATTAGCATCATCAATGATCTTCATAATAAGATTATGGAATTTTATAAGAATATGATTTCTATGATGTTCAAATCAAAACATCCGATTTCCAAAAAGGCTTTATAAAGATCAGAAAATCCAATAACAACAATCACGTAGTCAACCTAATTAAAAGCAACTCATCTTCTTCTTTGACATAGAAAATTACTAGGAATGAAACTAAGTTATGCTTTTTCAAGTAAACAACAATTCTACATAATCAGAAAAAATACTTAGAAAAATGTATAGAATTTTAAATGGTTGGATCAGATTGGTATAGCTTGTTGTCCACATTGCATCAAGTTAAATCTATACCAAACATTCAAATTCTAGGAACTTTTCTACATACAAATCGTTTACGTTTAGCAAGAATTATAACCAAAGCCATAGTTGTTGTCATGTATAATTACTCACTTTATGATATATAACTTCATGTAACTATGACATAGGGACTGATGTTGGCTCAAATCATTTGGAAAATACACTCCGACATTTTTATTTTATTTTAAATTTTTTTTGGAAAATAATAAACTAGCACAAAAGAAGAAAATTATGTGAATGTGCTTTGCTTTCTGTGATGCTGAAACCATCATATTTCCTTAATGTTATGTTTGGATCATGGATTTACCTAGGAAAAGGGAAAAGAAAAAGGTGTGTCGAATGTAATTATAGTTCATTGACATTTTACTGACATTTTCCCATTTCCTTTTCAAATCTCTACTCATATCTATGATTGAAACACAACATTAAGGTTCTATCAAGATCAGAAAATCCAATAACAATAATCCAAATCCAGCAGTCTAATAGTCCAATAGTTCAATAGGCCGGAAATGAAGTTTTCAAAAAATAATCCAATAGTCCATCCATTTAGAAGCTACTCAGCTTCACCTTTGACACAGGAAACTATTAGGAAATTAACCAAGTTATGATCTATCAAATAGTCTAATAGTTCATCCAATCAAATAATTTTCGTTTGTATATATTTTTAATTAATTTTTTGTTGAAGTGGTCAAACGGTTGGTTGTGGTACATTTGTTTAAGTGTTTATTTATGTAATGGTTATTGATACTTTGAACAAAGGTAGTAGACTTTCATCTCTGTTATTGCTTATGCAGTTTGTTAATGCGAAAAGATGCGCAAAATAATATTTTTCGTACATAGATTCTTTCTTTTCTCCCCAAATCATTAATTTCCTTCCCAAATCATTAATTTCCTTAAGTATTGTCTTCTTTACTAATTCTGTTTCGATGTTCTATTTTTGTTTGTCATAGGTCCCGAATTTCTCCATCTTAACGTAGAAGTAAAGCTATATCTCATCCATCCCTTCCTCCCTAAGGGTTGCATTAGTAGGTGCGCTTTTTAATTTATTTGCTTTTAATCAATAAAGCTATAAAAGAAGATAAAAGCTACACAAAAGCAGATGAATGCCATTGATTTTATCTTTCACTCAACCGATTAAATTGTGTCAAGTCAACTAAAATTCAACTGCACTAATTTTATTATTAATGCTCTTATTAATTAGAAGCGCCATGATAACATTGATATTTAGAAAGTACTAAATAATTACTCAATCAATCTAGGTTTGAGTTTGGAAAAATTATACACTATGTCTTTGTAGTTTGCCTTTTATTGTAGGTTTCATTTGGCACATGATAATAAGTCAACTTAAAAAACTCATTACGCTATAAAAACGTTAAATCATGTGGAATATTTAGTTAGTTATTGTCAAAAAGTCAATTTTAACCACTCTAAATAATGTTATTTTTAGCATTATTATTATTATTATTATTATTATTATTTGGCAAACACCCAAATGAAGTCTCAAATTGGTTTTATATTATAGTAGTTTAGTTTATGGGAAATTACCCCCAACGTGTGTATGGGTTGGAACTCACAACCTAGAGTCAGAAGGATAGTAAAACACAGTATAAATATACAATGAACGATATATCCCTCAAGCACAACACAAGAGACAAAGATATATCCACCCAAGTCTCCTTCCTCCTCTACCTCTCTCAACTCTCTCTCTCTCTCTCTCTCTCTCTCTCTCTCTTGCGTACATTATATTTGTATGTATCTAAGTATTTGTATTGACTAAATCTAATTTTTCTCTTCAAATTTTCTATTTCATCGTTATGCCCTAGCATCTTCAGTTTTCTCTCTCTCTCATTGTCTTTCACTTGATTTAGATATAAATTTTACGTTTTTAAAGAAAACTTGTCCTCATAAAAGAGGCATCCATGAAAACAATGTTGTATCGATACCTTTAGAATTATAGGGTTTGGGGCTATTCTAGGATAATGCACCAATTGTGGCTGTGTTTCTTCTTGTTAATTGTTTATTTCTTGCATTTATAATTGCTTGTCTACAGTATTTTTGAATTTTGAGCTCTCTACTTTTTGAGGACTTGGGAAATTTTATTTTGGCCCATACATAGGGCTCCGGACTGGCCCATACTGGAGCTTCTCTCTCTCTCTCTCTCTCTGTGAACAGCAGCAGCAGTACCGTGGTCTGGTATGTTGAAACTTGAAACCCTTTTCAAGAGTATTCGATTTGATGAGCTTTGCTATCTCCCAAAGCTAAGCTAGAGAGAGAGAGAGAGAGAGAGAGAGAGAGTGATCAATTACTTATTCGATTCGAGATTATTTGCCATGTCGGCCGCATCTAGAGGCCTCATTTATCGCCTCCGTCTATTCTCTATCAGTCCGAGAATACATTATTCTTCAACTCATACATTATTCTTCTATTCTCTATTAGTCATTTGCAGAGAGAAGGTGAAGTGCAATGGCGTTGTCATTATCGAAGTGGCTCGTAGACCCCAAGAAGAACTGGTTCGCTGCTCAACACATGAAATCTGTCTCTACACGCCTCCGCAGATACGGTTTGCCCTATTACGATCTGGACGTGAAGGAATCCCACACTCGAATCATTGAACCTGAACCCGGAGTTATGACTCCCAATTCGAAGAGAACCGGCGTCATCGCAGTCAAGTGTGGAATGACTGCACTTTGGGACAAGTGGGGGGCCAGGGTTCCCATCAGCATTCTTTGGTTGGACTATAACATCGTATCTCAAGTCAAGACCCCCCAAAATGAAGGAATCTCTGCTCTCCAGGTTCCCTCACTCACTCTCTCACTCACTCCAACCATGGCTTGTTCAATTACTTAATTAATGTTATATAATATGTTCTTTTTTTTTCCTTAAAAAAAAGGGGGTTTGTTTTGTTTTGAAATTTGTGTACTGGGTTTGTTTGTTTGTTTGTGTTGTTGAAATATCAATATAGATTTTGTGTGTTTGCTAGATTGGTTGCGGGCATAAGAAAGAAAAACATTTGACAAAACCCGAAGTGGGTCATTTCAGAGCTCAGGGTGTTCCAATGAAGAGGAAATTGAGGGAATTCCCAGTCTCAGAGGACGCACTTCTTCCTCTTGGTTTTTCCATTGGTGTTCGCCATTTTGTTCCTGGCCAGTTTGTTGATGTCACCGGAATTACAAGAGGGAAAGGTTTTCAGGTCAATTTTTTGCTCTTCAGTTGCTATCCTCCTCCTCCCAATCTTCTCCCTTTTGCTTCTGCATTTTTCTTTTAATCCCCTTTCAATGTTTATCATCAACAGCTGCACTATTAAACAGCCATAGGGCTTTGCTCCAAATTTTCAGTGTTCCATTATGTTTCAACTTTCAATTATTGGTCGCATAAATGACTAACTCATCAACTGGGATCATATTTATTGAACCCAGGAACACACTAATAGATTCTCACCGGGACATATATCATTGTTGATTAACTTTTATTGTCTTAGTTGCAGTAGTTACAAATATCAAACCCACAAATTATTGGGCATAATGTATGTAGCATAGCCACGGTAAGGACATAACATGCCAATTTGTGTGAAAATAGTGAAATACAGTGTAGATGCTAATTAACTGGTGCCAAATTTTAAGTGAGTTAGCTAGAGTGTTATTGTGCACATGGAAAATATCAGTTGTTTGGTTTGGTCTGGAAGAATGATGTATGAGTTTACAGAGAGTGGTTGACTTCTCAGCTCTCGAAATGCGATGGGTATGTCAATTCTTTGAGGTTGCTTTTGGGAGGTGTATAGGAGGTTGCTTCTTCAGGAGAGTGATTCCTAGTACTATCATTCCATAAAATGTGTTGTTTGAAAGCCTTGTTCATGCAGTGAGAAAGATCATGCTCTGCATTACATTAGTAACTTGTTTTTGTTTTATTGCCAGGGTGGGATGAAAAGATGGGGAATGAAAGGAAATCCTGCATCTCATGGTGCATCATTGTCACATCGAAGTATTGGTTCTACGGGTCAACGGGATGCTCCTGGAAAGGTGTGTGCACCCCTTCTTGTTTGGTGAAATTTCATTTAAAACTGAGTGGTATTGAATGTCTAATTATTTCTTCACTTTTTAGCAGCTTATTGTTTTTCATTGGAAATTCATAATTAATTGGTTCATCCATGAGCAAATCTACACAATTTGGCTATTATTAGGAAATGTAAAGTAAAAAACTGTTTTACTGTTATCTTTTGGGTTAATGTGGAGAAGTTTCCTGCTCACTAGAGGAGTTGCCCCTAACACATACACACAAAAGAAAGAAACAAAGACAACCAAGATTTTGGGGAGGCAGTTACGGAGATCCAGTTTAAACACAATCTCACTGTCTCATATGGATTGGATGCTTTACGTTAATTGTATCCAGAAGATGAATTATTTTGGCCTTTTCTTCTTGTTTTTATGAAGATAATCTTATTTGAATGTTGTCTAGAAATAAAAATCCTTATCTAATGCATAGTTATCTAACCAGATCCCATCCCATCGGAAACATAGAATGCATAATTCAGGAAATATAGAACGAAAAGTGGATATGTAACAAAAATGCAAGAAGGATCAAGAAGATAGTGATTTCCAAGTTTTCAGTAAGATCCAAGAATGTCTCTCTGTAGTGAATTTCCATTATGCTGTGAGAGTTTATTCTGGTCTTAATGAAGGAAGAAACATTAACACCTTAAAATTAAGTGATTCACATTACCCCCACACAAATATTTAACTTATAGAGACAAACTAGTAACAAATGACAATAAATGAAAAGCCTGGGACTTAATTCTTTTAGATATAAGTAACTTTATTAGAAGAGGTGCCAAAATGGGAATACTAATCCTGTATGCATGATGTACATCAAGACTATACCACTATATCTCTACAGAAACATATGATTCCCCCCAAAACAATCAAGACCAAAAGGAAAGAACTCTAAGCCAAAATAAAGGGACATGAGAAGGTTTCCCTTCAAGCATAGGATAGAGCTCTTTTCATTCTGAAACATAACTGCTATTTCTCTCCTTCCATAAACATGAAAAAACACATATATGCCTCCCGAACATCCATATATCTCCAAGAGGCAAACATGTCCTTAATTGTATGGGACATCACCCCTTCAACACCAAAAAAAGGGTGGTTTGTAGCCTCCCCCACCTACTTGCACGTGTAACACTGTTCTGCTAAAACTTCCCTCAACTAAGGGTTGTCCAGAGTTAAATTGACTCCCTAGCTGCCATCTAAGCAAAAAATTCATCTTATATTGTGTTTGGATCTTGGATTTGTTGAGGGAAAAGAAAGAGGGAAGGGATTTGTGAAAAACATTAGCTTGTATTTCATTTACTTTTCATTCCACAATTCTCTCCCCAATTCTAAGATCCAAAACAGGCTTGCTTGGAGCTTTAGAACGGCATGTACCTTTTCAAGGAAAATATGAACCCCTTATCTTCCAAAAAGAAATGTAGAACGAACTCACCAAGAACACATCAAAGGTCTTCAAGCCATGATATCCTTGGAATCTCCTTAGAAGGGCCCCAACAAATTCCATGTCCCAATCATTAAAAGCCCTATTAAATTGGGTGTCCATAAAACTCCTGTAGTAGAAATACAGAGAAAATCTGTCACAACTTTTTTCTTATCCACTGTAATCCAACGCAAATCAGGAAGAAACTCCATCAAAGGACAATGACCATACAAAATATCATGGCAAAAGCGTACCTTGCTATCATAAACATAAACATAAACATTTTATTTATTTATTTATTTAAATTTTTGTGGGGAATGGAGAAATTATTTAAGATGTCAATTTGGGTTTGTTTAGAATGTTGTACGTCAAAATTTTGTTTTGAATTTGGGAAAGGGTGTGTTCAAACATCTCTCTTGAAGGAAGAAAGTGGGGGAGGAAAGTTTCTTCAAACTTTTTCTCTGTGAACAGTAGTTTACTGTGGATGTATATTATGGCTTACATTCTTAATATGTTGTTTGAATAGGTTTTCAAAGGCAGAAAGATGCCTGGGCGCATGGGTGGCAAGCAACGGACAGTTAAGAATGTTTGGGTTTACAAAATAGACCCAGCAAGGAATTTGATGTGGGTGAGAGGCCAAGTATGGCTTTTCTAACCTTTTAATCTTTCTGATGTGAATGCTTAAAGTTTGAGTTAAAAGGCAAGGGGTTGTGTTATGCCTATGTGAACTATTGATATGCTGGCAGTCCAACAAAATCCTGACACTGCTGATATCCTACTCCTTCACCCCTTATTTATCTTTTATTTTTCTTGGGATCCAATATTAATGTTCTACACAATGGAGGGATGCCCTCCCCATGACCATAAAACTCCCAATGCTGATGACGACGAGATTTGATCTTAGGTCTTCGGCACAAAATGCCAAAAGATACGAGCTCACCTTCTTACTCCTCTCTTTTAAAGATCCCCATGATGAATGTTTGAATTACCATCAATGGTACTCTACTAAGAAATAAGTTGATAGTTGACAAAAATATCAAGAGACAGATGCATAAGAAAACTCAATCAATGGAAGTCTTTGCATGCCAGGAATTCCATTGTGAACAATACAGCAAAGTTGATACCATAAACCAAAAAACTTGTGATTAATTTCCAATGCCTAGTACTTTTTATTTTTTTGGTGCTAATTTATTTTAAGTCTTTGTGTATCCTTACGGAGATGCTATTCTTTTGCAGGTTCCAGGAGCTGAAGGAAACTTTGTGTTTATAAAAGATGCTGTTTACAAAAAACCTGATATTTCGATGCTTCCATTTCCTACATATTTTGCCCCAGAAGATGAGAACCTAGAAGAGTTGGAACCTCTGGTTGCTGATCTCGGGGAAGTAGATCCGTTTATGGTAGCAGATTAATTAGAGCTGGGTCTGGGAATTCCCCAAAAAGTGAGTTTCCTTTGTTGTTAGGTTAACCCCTGACGTTTTATATTTTTCTTTGTTATCCATGTGCATATGCATATCACTCATCTTTGCTCTGTCTGTGCATAAATATGTCTATATTTGTGGCATGTGAAGTTTCTTTCTTGTATTTAATACATGTTTTGTTTATGGTGTGAGGTAGGCTCCATTCCTCACTTTCTTCATTAAAATTGATTGTATGGAATTTTATTTTATTTTTTTATATATATATTTTTTAATGAAATGGCTTAGGGTAGTAGTTGGAAAAAATTTCAACTAGCCAACCCAAGGGCATTGCTGTCTAGACTTGAATGTTAGATGTAAAAAGGTGTGCAGTATGTGTTAGTGTGTAAGGCTTGTGCGGGGGGCTTTTCCATCTGTGCATGAATACTGGGAATTTTGTATCTATCATTTACCATCATCTAATGCAATTGCTGTACGATGTTTTGAGTATTTTGCTAACATGTTTGTGTTACACAGACGCGGTTAAAATTTCATGTTATATCACTCCCTCCATCCCACGATGTTGGTCCCTTTTGAAAATTCCAACTTTTTAGTGGAACATGTAATTATTGCCGTAAAATCAAATCAAAATATAGTAATTTATCATATGGCCCCTTTTATTTCCATTATTTATGTTTTGACTTTTCAAAATGGAGAAAGATGGACCAACAATATGGGATGGAGGGAGTAGTTTCTTGTTGCTTCTTTGCCATTACACATGAGAAATGGAGTTGGAAGTTGTATCCATTGGAGTCTACATGGTGTGGGGATTTATAATTTCCTTTCGATTTTTTTTTTTTTTTTTGATCCCCTTTCTTTTTTTTTTTTTTTTTTTTTTTTTTTCAAATATTTTTTTTTAAAAAAAAAAAAAAAAAAAAAAAACAACACCACAAAATAACACCAACAACTTTTCCCAATCTTGTCATTTTATTCATATCAGGGAATCAACCCCGATCACACTTTTACATCACAAAAAAAAAAAAAAAAAAAAAAAAAAAAAAAAAAAAAAAAAAAAAAAAAAAAAAAAAAAAAAAAAAAAAAAAAAAAAAAAAAAAAAAAAAACTCCATCCCACGATGTTGGTCCCTTTTGAAAATTCCAACTTTTTAGTGGAACATGTAATTATTGCTGTAAAATCAAATCAAAATATAGTAATTTATCATATGGCCCCTTTTATTTCCATTATTTATGTTTTGACTTTTCAAAATGGAGAAAGATGGACCAACAATATGGGATGGAGGGAGTAGTTTCTTGTTGCTTCTTTGCCATTACACATGAGAAATGGAGTTGGAAGCTGTATCCCTTGGAGTCTACATGGTGTGGGGATTTATAATTTCCTTTTGATCAGCTTCCTTTTGATTTTTTTGCAAGTACTCTTTTATAAGAAGATTAGTACTATTACAAAGGGTGCTACTTAGCAGTGCTCAACAGGTGGACTGGGCAGCCTAGGTATGGCCAAGTGAACGTTAAATCCATAAAACCTCATCAATTTCCCGATGACCTGAATAATATTTTGACACATCCTCACATTTTATACTTGCTAAAGTTGAAAGTGTATTTAAAATGGTTACCTAATTAGGCTGCAAAAGTTGATAGTGTATTTAAATGGTCACCTAATTGGGCATCAAAAGTTGATAGTGACAGCTAATTAGGCTGCAACATCTTTCTCTCCATAATACTATATAGCACGAATACTAAAAGCCATAAAAGTCATACACACATATGGGACACTCTCCTAATGGGACACAATTTTTCTTTTCCATCTAGGAATATACTTGCCTAGCAAGGGGGACACTCTTCTAATTGGATTGGATTTAACCTCTCAGGTATCCTTTCCTTAGCCAGCTTAGGTAGTTCCCTATTTCACCATGATTACATAATTTAGGAATCATATGTTGACCAAGCTTTACCCCCCGCCCTTATCTCGACGTTTCATCTCGCACAACATGGCACCTCTACTTGAGGTCATGCCACGTCAGCCAACCTCCTAGATCCACTTGGTCCTACTTAAAAATATGTCCCTCCAGTCATGGATGGATCTAAGGGGTGGTCGCGGCCTCAAAAATTCTAAAACAAGATAATTATAAAATTAGAGTATTTCACACCCGCAAAATTAGAGTATAAAATTAGTTGAATTTTATCAAATATTTGTCTCTTGTGTTTTCTACTACGTTTTTCATTATATATATTTGTTCTTGTTTCCAACTATTTTTATTTTATGACCATGTGTCATTGATGTTTTTCCATCACACTTTAATTTGTTTGTTTCCGTTTTTTGGCTTCCATTTTTGTTTGCTCATCATATGGAAACGAGAATTTTGTATGCGCTTAACATTCCCAAAATTGCGAGCATGAAATTTGATATTGCTTATTGAAACGAATTAGCCTCTTATTCATTAATTGATTAATCTTGTGTTAATTTTACATGTTTCAATTTTGCATATGAATGCACATTTTCAACTATGAAATTTGTCAGACTTAACTATATAGAAGATCACATTTATTGAGGAACATTGTTTGAGGTTTTGATTTCGAGCCTATCATAAATGTTTTTTATATCATAAACAAGTGTCAAGCACAATCTTTTCAAATGACTTAACTTTAGTAGATGAAGACATATAGTAATAGTTACTATTTTTTGTAAGTTAATGCTGACAAAGAATATGTTCAACTATATGATCGTATTTTTATACTCAACTATGTTGACAAAAAATGTCTAGTTGATAGAAATATTATTTACTTTTTTGTGTTGATAGAAATCGATATTGTATTTTAAAACTTTATAATTAAAACATTTTTTTTTTTCCAATTAGGAGTTGCATGTGTTTTAGCCCCCCCAAATTAGAATCTTAGATCCGTCCCTGCTTAGAGTTACCTAATAAGGCATTGCAAACTAAATAGGATGTGATGTGATGATGTATTTATATCTTAAAAGTGTTTATGCAATACAGAAATTTAAATAATTGTAGGAATTTGTTAATTTAGACAAGTGATGTTAAAACATTATATAATTTTATTTAAATTTTATGATGAAGCCTATGAATAACTAAAAGAATTTTTGTTAAATATAGGAGAACTTATTTTATAATTACAAATTCTAATTTCATAAACTTTTTTTGATATGTTTGTTTCAAAATTAATTGGAATATTTTTATTTTTCATTTTTTTAATAATGTGGGTGGTTTGTGTGAGTTGGATGGTTGAGAGAAAAGTGTTCATACCAAGTGAGTTGTGTTGTGTGCTTTATTTAATAGTATAGATATTTATCCATATTTCTTTATGTGAATATATGTTACAATTTGTTTGATAATTAACATTCAGTGAGGATTTTTCAAACTCTATTTATTTTTGAGTGATAGAATGGTTAATTACTTGGTTAGAGAGTCCATCGTACCTTAGTTTGGGATAGCTCTTTAAACATAGGATCTTGTTAACGTGTGCCCTTAGGGCACATGCTAATACAACTTAAAAATGTTGTACATTCATTAGTGTACAACCCTTCACGTTATCAAAATCCTTGAACATATGCCAAGCCTAGCTTAACTGTATATAGAATTTACTTGGTGGATCAAATTTTTTTTTTGCAATTGCCTAGGATTGGTTATTGTAACTTAATATGTAACGACCTTGCCCCGCAGCGGAAGTTTACGTAGGTGATCTTGGGTATATTAGTACGAACAATGAACCCAAATGACATTCCCTAGCTAATCCTTTTTGGCGAGACCTTGTGGGCTCAGGGATCATGTCTGAAAGTCCAGGGAATATTGCCCTGTGTGCAGGTGACGTTGGCCACTAGGGAATAGCGTTCGTGTTGCTAATTTCTAGTGCTCAACCTCCTTGTGAGACTCTGAGGGTATAAAGGTGAAGAGTTTGTAACGCCTTTGCCCCACATCGGAAGTTTACATGAGTGATATTGGGCATATAAACAGGAACAAAGAATCCAAATGACATCTCCTTTCCTAGGCCTTTTGGGTGAGTTCCCGTGGTTGTTACTTATGATGTCAGATCTGACGTGTGTGCATGACCTTGTTTGAATGTCTAGGGAATATTCCTGTGTGTGGGTGACTCTAGGCACTAGGGAATAGCCTGTGGGTGGGTGGCTCTAGTTAGTAACAATCCTTTCTCACACCAGAAGTTTGGATAAGCGATCTTGGGTACATAAGTAGGTGCAATGAACCCAGATGATCTCTCCTTGGCTAACTCTTTCGGGTGAGTTCACATTGTCATTAACATGTGTGCGAGTTCTTTTGCATCACTCGTAATATCCAATGGTGTGGATTTTCTTTGAAGGAAATTAATTTGCTCATGACTGTTCAGTTTAGGAATTTAATAGTGTTGAAAAGATGATCTCATGATGAAAAGAAAACACATGGTGTCTGGTGACAGCCATTTTACTCGATTTTTCTTTCAAGAAAAGAAAATGTTTCCTGTTCCTTGTTCCCTATTTAGTGGTCCGAGGGAAGGTTGGTCAATGATCTTTGGTAGCCTGCAATTTAGAGTAATGGACTAGTGTGTGGTTGAAGTCATTTTGACATTAATCGGCAGTATCAAATTCCCTTGAACAATTACTTGGATGCATAATATACAGACGAATCCCAATGGCAGATCATACAATTTCCGTCCAATATTTTAGGTATGTGATAATTTAAATGAAAGATTGTAGATTTTTTCCCCCCTCCTATAAATTTTGAAGAATTCCCTTGTCTAACACTAAGATAAGATACTTTCTCTTCGTAAATTATTATTTTTGGGTCAAGTAAGCAAATGGTAAAAAAAAAAAAAAATCTGTACACAATAGAAGGATGGAAACCATCTAGAGAATTACAAAAGATGGGGCGCCATCCCACCACCCAACTAAACAGCAGAGCATCAACTAAACAACCTACATCTCTTTAAGGACCCGTTTTAGACCAAGAGTAATCTAATGGTTAATGGAGGGCCACCATTAGCACACTTTCTGGTTACTAGTACCTGGAACACTTGATGCTATTTTCTCACGGTTGTTTTACTCAAAATCGCTTTACTTACGCCACTCCACTCTGTTCGCTAGGGCTTATATTCGAAATTGAATTGATATATATATATATATATATATTTATACTGATGAGCTACTTTTTTTGTTCTGTGAACAGTAAGGCACTGGAGGATGATGCATCCCCGTCCTTAGCCTTAACAGGTTTGACAAGCGAAGAGACTTGAGGAAAGCACTTCATATTTAATATTCTTTTCTTTTGAATGTATTAAGTTACCCCGCTGTGAGGGGTGGGATACTTGGTTTGATCTTATCTTTCTTAGACTTGTTTTCTGATTTTTTTTTCATATCTCCAAACAGTTGAGTTGTGAGCTGTGACTACCTGTGAAATATAATGTTATGGAAACTGTTTGTCAGATTTTGCCTCATTTAATTTTATAGTTGCTGCTTGATAGAGAACAAGTGGAGTAGTCAAGTTCTTTAAATTGTGTGTGATCTACAAAAGCCTTTTTAGATAAAACTAGACTATTCTATTAGTTTTTATTATTGGTTAAAACTTGGTTGCGATGTACATTCTTTTATTGGCAACCTTAACTGACCATACAGCCTATGTTATTACCATTCATTTTTACTATTGTCGGGGCTATTGTTGTATTAGGTTGTACCCAATTTACCACGAGATTCTTAGATGTTGTGTAATGAACTTAATAATAAGTAAATGATTCGATTGGTTTTTATTAGCGGAAGTTGTTGCTTGAATATGTGGGTTGGTTGGTTGGTTGTGTTGCAGGATGTTGTTGACAGTTGAGAGGGGTCTGCGGATGAAGAATTTAATCTTCTGTATTTGTATTTTCCTCTCAATCAAAGCATTGATTATGTGTGTTATTTTGTAGTCTTTTGCAGGTTCATGTATAAGTAAAAATTATTGAGGGGAGGAAGGATCTGAAACTGTCTTAAAGTTTGGTTCAAACATAGTTATGGTGGGCAGTTGTTTGCACTTTGTAGGAGCTTGTATATATATATATATATATATTGAACTCATCTTGGCTCAATCAAAAACTCTGAATTGGAACGAACTTTGCTCAAATCAAATCAAAATCTCGAAATGGAAGAGTTACAAGAGGTGTATGGATTCTTTTGTATGGTGATCTGCCCCAACAAACAAAGAGAAGGAAAGAGTTTTTGAGTTTGAAACAAAATGCCTCCTCGTCTTTTGAATTATGATAAGTCCTCTATTTTGTTTTAAAATTAAAAGATTTGTGTTGAGTTATATTATTACGTGTAAAAATTATGTTTATATTCATTTTTTGAGTAATATTACATAAAATATATATATGCACACATAATATAGAGAATTGTTAAATTTTTATTCTATTTTTATTATAAATACAATTTTATTTTTATTTTTAATAATATTTAAAATTATACATGAAATAATTCTCAATGTTAATTTTTTTTAAAAAAGAAAAAAAAAGAAAAACTAAATATAAATAACTCTTTTGGATGCGATTTACTGGTGTGTGTCTATTATTACCTCCTTGAACCAAATGGATAATCTACCAAAACGAAAAATGAAAATAAAAAAATCGGTTTTGTAATACAAAAATGTAGCCACTACATTATTATTATTAGGGTAAATGATACTCACCACCTTTGAGGTTTCTAACAAATAGAGGGATTTTTATTGTGATTTGAATAATTACACAAACATTTCTTACTTTAACTGATATTATTAAGATTTCCCCATATTTGAACCTCTCTTAGCACAGGTAATAAAACATGCTAATGTCATCACCGATAAACCCAATAATACCAATAATGCCCTCAGGGCTGTTGGACAATTATTTACATATTTTTGAAGAAAATGCTATACAAACTAATAAATATTACACATTTTCTTACTCGTGCTATACAATAATAAAATTTTGGAATGTTAAAATAATTGTAACATTAGTAAATAAGAAAATTTTATAAATTTTAGGATAAATTATACTAACTACTCTTGAGATTTGGAGAATGCAATAAGCTTCACAAACTTGGTACAATTACATTATATAGGCATAATATTTTATTTCAGATAATACTTAATTTTTTTTCCCAGTAATTCTTTAGTCATATATAGAGAAAAAAAATATGTTGTCATTTATTTTAGTGTTTACACACTATATGCATTACTTTTTATCAATTTTATCTTACTAAACAGGAGATTTATATAATTATGTCAAATTTATAAAATTTATGTTTTTTTCCCCTAATAACAGGAGATTTATGTAATTATGTCAAATTTATAAAATTTATGTTTTGTCCCCCTAATTCTTAGTAATAGTGAGTGTAATTTATCTTAAAATTTATTCTTATTTATTTATTTATTTTATAATATTACTTCAATCAAAATTTCAGTTTACAACGCAGTAAACACTAACAACATAAACAATTAATTAGCCAAATAATAACAAAAGAAACATAGACTATCTTACCACCAAATCACATAATAACATGAATTTTAAAATACAAAAAGTAATACACAGGCTTTTGGAGAAGTTTGATTATCACGCTGATAGCGTGTTTGGGATTTATTTGTTGTGACTTTTCAATTTTTTTATTTTTTAAAGTTAAAAAAGTTAATGTTTTGGGAAAATTATTTGTGAATGAAAAAATTTAAGAGAAATTATAAAAAAATAAAAATAAAATCTGAGTTTGAATCTTGTAATAAAATAAATTATGAGTTTTAAATTTTGTTAATTTAAATCTTAATTTTTTGATTTTTTTTCCAGTCTAAACTATGGACCTATTTTCATTAACTATCGAAAAAAAAAAGTATATTTTAATTAATAAACACAATTTAGATATACAAAAATATTCTACAATATTCATTTATTTTGAGTTTAATAACTAAAATATATTTTTTTTCAACAATTTTACTACAGAAAAATAGACAGATAGTTTAAATTGAAAATAAATCAAATATTAAAATTTAAATTAATAAAATTAAAAACTAATAGTTTAGCAGGCTATATAGATTAAAAACAAATCAAATATTAAAATTGAAATTAATAAAATTAAAAACTCATAGTTTGTTAGGCTATAAGACTCAAATCCTTGATTTTTTTTTTAAATTTTTATAAATGTTTTAAAATTTTATGTTACATTTGATTTTTTTTGACTGATAACATATAATTTAATGAATTTTTTTAACTAGACCCCAGACGGCCCTTTAACGAGGATAAGAGATGGAGGATACCAGAGCCCTACCTAAAAAGTAATTCATAATTTAATTACTGCATGATGTAAATAGAGGGGATAAAGGTATTATCTTCTTTTCGTGCTTCAAAATAAGAATAATAAGATCATTTATTATATATAAGTAATGTCGTTTGTTTTAATATGACGAATGAATGAAAGAGTCTTGACAATGTCAGTTAAAGTAAGGAAGGTTTGCGTAATTATTCAAAAGAGAAAGAGGAAACTGTTGTTGTCTTCTTAGATCCCAAAAAAAAAAAATCCTGAAACTTAGAGATCATCATCATCATCATCTTTTCACCATGAAAATGGGAATGGGCAAGCTAACAGAGTTGTGTGGGGGTCTAGTAGTAAGAAGGGAGTTGGTAATTCTGTTATTAGTGGTTGCAGCAGTAGCAGCAGTAGGGAGTAGTGGTAACATAGTGGAGGATGAATACGTGGAGGAGGGGAAGGGGAAAGTGATAAAGGACAAGGCAGAAGAGAAGGCTGCAGAGACAGGGAGGAAAGCTAAAGAGGCTTCGGAGTCATGGGCTGAGTGGACCAAGGAGAAAATCACCGAAGGCCTCGGGTTTAAAGTAACAAAGGAAGCCAAGGATGCTACTGCTACTGCTACTGCTATTGCTATGCACACCAAAGACGAGATTTCTAGTATCTATCTATCTATTACTCATTTTCATTATTTTCCTAATTAATTACCTACTAACTAACCCATAATTATTATCAATCAAATTCAATATTGTTTTGTTTCTAACTAAGAAGGCTAAAAATCTCTGTCAATGTTTCTGCCAAAATTGGACCTAATAAAATGTAAACACAACATCATCAGATTTAAAAAGAGTAGTGAGTGTACTACTGGCAGCTGCTCTCCCTTAACCTCCTCATGGTATTAAAATGTAGGTACATCTGTGTACCAATTATGATCCATGATCATGTAGTGGAGGAAAGCATCTTAATTCCCGCACCGCATGCTATTTATTTATTTATTTATTCTCATATTCAAATACAAAAATATTGGACGGGGGCAGGGGCAGGACAAAACAGCGCAGACAAATCCGGAGAAATGAAGAATGAGGATGCAACTGAAAAGGCTGCGTATGCCAAGGAAACAGCATTCCAGAAGGCGGAAGAGGCCAAGCATAGGGCCTATGAGACGGCGGAGGAAGCAAAGGAGAAGTCATCTAACAAGATAGGAGGAGAGACAAAGGACAAGGCCTATCAGACTGCCTAAGACGCTAAGGAGAAAGTATCCCAAAAAGCACAGGAAGCCTACTAATTATGTCAAATTTATAAAATTTATGTTTTTTTCCCCTAATAACAGGAGATTTATGTAATTATGTCAAATTTATAAAATTTATGTTTTTTTCCCCTAATAACAGGAGATTTATGTAATTATGTCAAATTTATAAAATTTATGTTTTTTTCCCCTAATAACAGGAGATTTATGTAATTATGTCAAATTTATAAAATTTATGTTTTTTTCCCCTAATAACAGGAGATTTATGTAATTATGTCAAATTTATAAAATTTATGTTTTTTTCCCCTAATAACAGGAGATTTATGTAATTATGTCAAATTTATAAAATTTATGTTTTTTTCCCCTAATAACAGGAGATTTATGTAATTATGTCAAATTTATAAAATTTATGTTTTTCCCCCTAATTCTTAGTAATAGTGAGTGTAATTTATCTTAAAATATATTCTTATTTATTTATTTATTTATTTTATAATATTACTTCAATCAAAATTTCAATTTACAACACAGTAAACACTAAAAGCATAAATAATTAATTAGCCAAATAATAACAAAAGAAACATAGACCGTCCTACCACCAAATCACATAATAACATGAATTTTAAAATACAAAAAGTAATACACACGCTTTTGGAGAAGTTTGATTATCACGCTGATAGCGTGTTTGGGATTTATTTATTGTGACTTTTCAATTTTTTATTTTTTAAAGTTAAAAAAGTTAATGTTTTGGGAAAATTATTTGTGAATGAAAAAATTTAAGAGAAATTATAAAAAAATAAAAATAAAATCTGAGTTTGAATCTTGTAATAAAATAAATTATGAGTTTTAAATTTTGTTAATTTAAATCTTAATTTTTTGATTTTTTTTCCAATCTAAACTATGTACCTATTTTCATTAACTATCAAAAAAAAAAAGTATATTTTAATTAATAAACACAATTTAGATATACAAAAAATGTCTACAATATTCATTTCTATTGAGTTTAATAACTAAAATATATTTTTTTCAACAATTTTACTAAAGAAAAATAGACAGATGGTTTAGATTGAAAATAAATCAAATATTAAAATTTAAATTAATAAAATTAAAAACTAATAGTTTAGCAGGCTATATAGATTAAAAACAAATCAAATATTAAAATTGAAATTAATAAAATTAAAAACTCATAGTTTGTTAGGCTATAAGACTCAAATCCTTGATTTTTTTTTTAAAAATTTTTATAAATATTTTAAAATTTTATGTTACATTTGATTTTTTTTTAATTGATGACATAATTTAAGGGATTTTTTTAACTAGACCCCAGACGGCCCTTTAACGAGGATAAGAGATGGAGGATACCAGAGCCCTACCTAAAAAGTAATTCATAATTTAATTACTGCATGATGTAAATAGAGGGGATAAAGGTATTATCTTCTTTTCGTGCTTCAAAATAAGAATAATAAGATCATTTATTATATATAAGTAATGTCGTTTGTTTTAATATGACGAATGAATGAAAGAGTCTTGACAATGTCAGTTAAAGTAAGGAAGGTTTGCGTAATTATTCAAAAGAGAAAGAGGAAACTGTTGTTGTCTTCTTAGATCCCAAAAAAAAAAAATCCTGAAACTTAGAGATCATCATCATCATCATCTTTTCACCATGAAAATGGGAATGGGCAAGCTAACAGAGTTGTGTGGGGGTCTAGTAGTAAGAAGGGAGTTGGTAATTCTGTTATTAGTGGTTGCAGCAGTAGCAGCAGTAGGGAGTAGTGGTAACATAGTGGAGGATGAATACGTGGAGGAGGGGAAGGGGAAAGTGATAAAGGACAAGGCAGAAGAGAAGGCTGCAGAGACAGGGAGGAAAGCTAAAGAGGCTTCGGAGTCATGGGCTGAGTGGACCAAGGAGAAAATCACCGAAGGCCTTGGTTTTAAAGCTGTAGAGGAAGCCAAGGATGCTACCAATACTGATACTGATACTGATACTGATACTGATACTGATACTGCTACTGCTATGCACACCAAAGACGAGATTTCTGGTATCTATCTATCCATTATTCATTTTCATTGTTTTACTAATTAATTACCTACTAACTAATCCATAATTACTATCAATCAAATTCAATGTTGTTTTGTTTCTAACGAAGGCTAATAATCTCTGTGAATGTTTCTGTCGAAATTGGACCTAATAATATGTAAACACAACAACATCATCAGAGTTAAAAAGAGTAGTGATGTACTACCAGCTGTTTTCCCTTAACCTCCTCATGGTATTAAAATGTAGGTACATTCCTGTACCAATTATGATCCATGATCATGTAGTGGAGGAGAGCATCTTAAATCCCGCATGCTATTTATTTATTTATTTATTCTCATATTCAAATACAAAAATATTGGACGGGGGCAGGGGCAGGACAAAACAGCGCAGACAAATCCGGAGAAATGAAGAATGAGGATGCAACTGAAAAGGCTGCGTATGCCAAGGAAACAGCATTCCAGAAGGCGGAAGAGGCCAAGCATAGGGCCTATGAGACGGCGGAGGAAGCAAAGGAGAAGTCATCTAACAAGATAGGAGGAGAGACAAAGGACAAGGCCTATCAGACTGCCTAAGACGCTAAGGAGAAAGTATCCCAAAAAGCACAGGAAGCCTACCACAATGCTGAGGAAGCGAAAGAGAGAGCATCCCGAAAGGCAAAGGAGAAAGCAAATGAGGGGTTTGAAACTGCAAAAACCAAAGCGGAAGAAACCCTGGAGTCTGCCAAGGAGACCATAGCTTCCAACAACAAAATTGCCAAGAAGAAATCTAAAGACCTCAAGGATAGCTTTTATCTTGATGGCGGCAAATGAGGAGGAGAAGGAGTAGGACCACCACCTCGAGATGAGGAGCTCTAAGTCCCCGAGTTCGAATCTGAATCTGAGCAGAGGGCTGCCTCCGTCGTCTCCTCCAGTAGTAATCAAGTGTGGTTTCATTCCTGTAATTAATTCTGGCACTGTGGGCGGGCGAGGCAGACAAATTATTGGGTACAGATAGGGTACATGTGGCAGACCACATGGTACCTTCAACCAATCACAAATACCATAACCTCCCATGTTGTCTCTCTATCATCCAACACATAAATGAAGCCCCCACTCTCTCAACCAATGAGAGAAGAGAAAGGTACCACATGGCACTACCCTATTTGCACTCAAAAATTTCTCGGCGAGCTGAGTCTATGTTTTTCTGTTTCATGCAATGTCGGTGGCATTATATACTTCACTCAGTGTGTGTGGTGTTTGTGTTTGTGTTTATGTTTATGTAGCGTTTGGTTTTCGTTTGTTTATTAGTTTATGGGGGGAGTATATTGTATGTTTTCTTTCTTTCTTCACTTTTTAACTCTCTCTGTTTTTGTTTTTGAACTGTGTTTGAAGGCATTTGGTGAAATTTCATTTAAAACTGAGTGGTATTGGATGCCTAATTATTACTTCACTTTTTAGCAGCTTATTGTTTTTCATTGGAAATTCATTATTAATTGGTTTATCCATGAGCAAATCTACGCAATTTGGCTATTATCAGGAAATGTAAAGTAAAAAAGTGTCTTACTGTTAACTTTTGGGTTAATGTGGAGGAGTTGCCTGCTCACTAGAGGAGTTACCCCTAACAAACACACAAAAGAAAGAAACAAAGACAACCAAGATTTTGGGGAGGCAGTTACAGAGATCCAATTTAAACACAATTTCACTGTCTCATATGGATTAGATGCTTTACCTTAAGTGTATCCAGAAGATGAATTGTTTTGGCTTTTTCTTCTTGTTTTTAGGAAGATAATCTTATTTGAATGTTGTCTAGAAATAAAAATCCTTATCTAATGCATAGTTATCTAACCAGATCCCATCCCATCAGAAACATAGAATGCATAATTCAGGAAATATGGAACGAAAAGTGAATATGTAACAAAAATGCAAGGAGGATCAAGAAGATAGTGATTTCCAAGTTTTCAGTAAGATCCAAGAATGTCTCTCTGTAGTGAATTTCCATTATGCTGTGAGAGTTTATTCTGATCTTAATGAAAGAAGAAACGTTAACACCTTAAAATTAAGTAATTCACATTACCCCTACACAAATATTTAACTTATAGAGACAAACTAGTAACAAATGACATTAAATGAAAAGCCTAGGACTTAATTCTTTTAGATATAAGTAACTTTATTAGAAGAGGTGCCAAAATGGGGATACTAATCCTGTATGCATGAAGTACATCAAGACGATACCACTATATCTCTGCAGAAACATATGATTCCCCCCAAAACAATCAAGACCAAAAGGAAAGAACTCTAAGCCAAAATAAAGGAACACGAGAAGGATTCCCTTCAAGCATAGGATAGAGCTCTCCTCATTGTGAAACATTACTGTTATTTCTCTCATTCCATAAACAAGAAAAAACACATATATGCCTCTCGAACATCCATATATCTCCATGAGGCAAACATGTCCTTAACTGTATGGGACATCACCCACTCAACACCAAAAAAAGGGTGGTTTGTAGCCTCCCCCACCTACTTGCACGTGTAACACTATTCTGCTAAAACTTCCCTCAACTATGGGTTATCCAGAGTTAACTGGACCCCCTAGCTACCATCAAAGAAAATTTTTTGTCTTATGTTTGGATCTTGGATTCGTTGAGGGAAAAGAAAAAGGGAAGGGATTTGTGAAAAACATTAGCGTGTATTTCATTTACTTTTTACTCCACAAATCTCTCCCCAAATCCAAGATCCAAAACAAGCTTGCTTGGAGCTTTAGAATGGCATGTTCCTTTTCAAGGAAAATATGAACCCCACATCTTCCAAAAAGAAATGTAGAACGAACTCACCAAGAACACGTCAAAGGTCTTCAAGCCATGATATCCTTGGAATCTCCTTAGAAGGGCCCCAACAAATTCCATGTCCAAGTCATTAAATGTCCTATCAAATTGGGTGTCCATAAAACTCCTATAGTAGAAATACAGAAAATCTTCCACAACTTCTTTCTTATCCATTGTAATCTAACGCGAATCAGGAATAAACTCCATCAAAGGACAATGACCATACAAAATGTCGAGGCAGAAGCGTACCCTGCTATCATAACATAAACATTTTATTTATTTATTTATTTAAATTTTTCTGGGGATTGGGGAAATTATTTTAAGATGTCAATTTGGGTTTGTTTGGAATGTTGTACGCCAAAATTTTGTTTTGAATTTGGGAAAGGGTGTGTTCAAATATCTCTCTTGAAGGAAGAAAGTGGAGGAGGAATGTTTCTTCAAACTTTTTCTCTGTGAACAGTAGTTTTACTGTGGATGTATATTATGGCTTACATTCTTAATATGTTGTTGGTACAGGTTTTCAAAGGCAGAAAGATGCCTGGGCGCATGGGTGGCAAGCAACGGATAGTTAAGGATGTTTGGGTTTACAAAATAGACCCAGCAAGGAACTTGATGTGGGTGAGAGGCCAAGTATGGTTTTTCTAACCTTTTAATCTTTCTGATGTGAATGCTTAAAGTCTGAGTTAAAAGGCAAGGGTTTGTGTTCTGCCTATGTGAACTATTGATATGCTGGCAGTCTAACAAAATCCTGACACTACTGATATCCTACTCCTTCACCCTTTATTTATCTTTTATTTTTCTTGGGATCCAATATTAATGTTCTACACAATGGAGGGATGCCCTCCCCATGACCATAAAACTGCCAATGCTGATGACGGTGAGATTTGATCATAGGTCTTCGGCACAAAATGCCAAAAGATACGAGCTCACCTTCATACCCCTCTGTAGACACCCCATTTTGACCGACCTTAAGACTCAGACATCACCAATTGAGCGCTTGGTGATGTTCCATAATGTGCTCGTTCAGAAGTCTCAGAGTCGTAAAGATCCCCATGATGAATGTTTGAATAACCATCAATGGTACTCTACTAAGAAATAAGTTGATAGTTGACAAAAATATCATGAGACAGATGCATAGGAAAACTCAATCAATGGAAGTCTTTGCATGCCAGGAATTCCATTGTGAACAATACAGCCAAGTTAATACCAGAAACAAAAAACTTGTGATTAATTTCCAATGCCTAGTACTTTTTATTTTTTTGTTGCTAATTTATTTTAAGTCTTTGTGTATCCTTACAGAGACGCTATTCTTTCATAGGTTCCAAGAGCTGAAGGAAACTTTGTGTTTATAAAAGATGTTGTTTACAAAAAATTAGATATTTCGATGCTTCCATTTCCTACATATTTTGCCCCAAAAGATGAGAACATAGAAGAGTTGGAACCTCTGGTTGCTGATCTCGAGGAAGTAGATCTGTTTATGGCAACAGATTAATTAGAGCTGGGTTTGGGAATTCCCCAAAAAGTGAGTTTCCTTTGTTGTTAGGTTAACCCTTGGCGTTTTATATTTTTCTTCCTTTTTGGTGAATACAGAATGAATGGTGAGTTCATGATTAGTTAACCCGATGAGTCTGTTTTTTAGGTTTTTAAGTTATATTAGCAATTTACTGCAGATGCAGGGAATGTCATTCTATCATTGAGATGTGTTTATTTGGCTTCCGAGTTTGAAATGGGCGAAACATGTTTTTGTAATGGAGTTCTAGTTTCAATTAAATGCAAAAAACTTAGAATTGTGATGGGTTTATTGACTACAGTTGTAGAACTTTTTATTCAAGGTTTTCTGTTGTTATATCTTTGTAGATGAAGGGTTCTGAGTGTATTAAGGGAAAAGGGGGAGTCGTCTTAATTTCGATTATCCTTTTTAAGGATTAGCATCCAAGGACCAGGCTAGTGTTTTCATTGCGACAAAATTTTTTTGATCATCCTGGTGAAGAACTTAGAACTCATTTCATCGAATACATGATTGTACTATATGTATATGTGTGCTCGTGTGGTGTCTATCGGCTTTGTAATTATACAAAGATAAGAATCAATGAATTGGAGAGAAATCAAATTTTATATGCACTGTAGCATTTATGTAGAGTGCATTTGATGCATTCTCTGTTCTCTTTATTTTCTTTCGAGTACCCACACCTGGTAAGTATCCGGTACTCATACGGCACCATTTTTGGAGTACCTGTGCTTCATAGCTGAGGAGCTTACATTTTTTAACATTTTATAATTTTGCGGCAAAGTTGGGCTAATATTTTCTATAGTGCCTGTTAACTTTCTATGCATGGAAGTGAGATGTATGGGAGGGAACTAGTGAATCTGCGGAAGGAGAATCGCTGGGAGTTCCTTAATACACTATTTTCCGTTTCAGAAGTAGTGGCTTATACGCAGGTAGTTTACTTATTTGTTCAAGTAACGATGTAAACATCTACACTTACTATATTATTCTTGTCATGTAGACTTCATTAGTTGTGATACCTGTTGATGTTTATGGCTATGAGCTGTAGTTATGCATTAGGATGGCTTTCTTTTCTTTTTCTTTTTTCTTTTTTGAACTAAGCTACCTGACTATTTTTTCTCTCCCTCTCTCTCCAGGCGAGTGTGTGTATGCCTGTGTCATTAGGAACACCTGAAATGCTAACTATTCATATGTTAGCACTTGTTTGACATCTATTTATGCGGTACAACAAATATTTAAACAAGTCTTTACTTTTGCATTGTCTGTGTCTTTCATTGTTGAACAGATTCTAGGAGGTTTTTAATTTGAGTCCTTGGTAAAAAAGCATATGCTTTATCAGTTAAGTGATTAGCCTTGTACTATTGTCATATGGTTTCACCTTTATAGGTTACAATATTACTTTGTTCCACTCAAATAAGAAAAGCTATGTATTTTTTTCATACAGGTTCTGTTGAGCATTCTGCTAATACTGAAATGCTACATAAATAATGTAGATATTATGACCAGATTAGTTTTCTTGCTCCTTATGTGTGTTGATATCTAATTTTAAAATTTTCCTTAATTTCCCTATCCAATTGTACGCAGTGGACAATAAGTTTCATTTACTAATATGAAACCTTAGTTTTTTTGATTCAGATGGTTGACAGATTGGATGAAGGAGCTATAGCACCGGATCTCGGTCCAATTGATTATAAAGGGCTTTACAAGGCAATATATGTTAATAAATTCTATTTGGAATGGTGATATTAGGCACATATCATTAATTAATAACTCTTGCTACTGGTTTCAGGTGGTTGGAAAGGCCCTCTTCAGAGCACATGTAGGTCAGCTTAGGGTAGCTGTTTTTTAATGGATGCTTAACTTTTTAATGAGGTGTTTTACAAGTACCAACTAATTAGTGGTGTTTCTACAGAATGAGATAATCTCCAAGCCTGAACTGTTTGTAGACCCTGATCTAGAGCTATCTTTGGCACTTTTGGATCAAAAGGAGGTATATTCCTTATTATTTGTCCTTAGTTCACAACATGTCAAATCTTTGAGTTGCTTTTCTTAGATCTCCAAGATTTAGATTGTTTTTTGTTTTTGTTTCAATTCTGTTTTGATTTATTTGGTAAAGGAAAATAGATTCAATTCTTATAATTTATTCCATTATATTTTCATTCATGTTTATATCCTAATAATGCCCTTCTTGAGTTCAAAATGAGACTTAAACAGGTACCAAACCAGTGCACCAGAGCAGCAGAGCACACCCGGCCAACATAGAGCTCACCCAACCATAATTAACTTCACCTGGCAACAATTCAATTTCACCCGGCTACAAAAGGTGTTGGCCAGCTACAAAAGGTGCCGGCCAGTTACAAAATGTGTCACCTAGTTACAAAAGGTGCCGGTAGCCAGATGATCGACTGGACAACCGGCCACGGAAAAACTTAGCATTTTTCTTCTGCAGGCTTGGGACATCCAGGGGTACAACCTGGCAAGGCATTTTGGCCCAGATTCGTTCCAGAACAGTTCTGTTCTCACCGGTTGTCAGACCAACAGTATGCTCTTTGACGACTGGGACCTCATGGGACATCTGGGCAAATGTTCGAAAGGACATTCGGATGAACGACCCATAGACAAAGAACTTCATTTGGGACATCCTGGTGGACGTCCACTGTGTAGAGAATTCAATATATCAAAAATGAATAATGCTTGGGACCCCCTTTTAGGGGTCACCCCCTCACCCCCTTTGCCACGTGGCAGGTGGTGATTAGAGGAGCAGGAAAAAAAAGAAAAAGAAAAGGAAAATGTAACCAATGAGAGAGAGAGGGGGTCAAAGGGGGTGGGGGGAAAAGGGGGGATGAATCATTGTTGATCAAAAATATGTTGAGAGCATAAAAGAAATAGTTTTACATCAGACACCATTATTCAACGGGCAAAACTCACGTGGGCAACTAAGATTCTCTAAGGATTCAATTGTTTATCATCCTCAGCCATCACCCTCCCATCTCTTCAATGGGAAGAAGAGAATGGGTATTGTCAGAGCATAACAGAACAACATCTCTGTTATATACAAAGCTCTACATAAGCAGCAGACAACACACTAATACAGAGCAACAGATACAACGTGCTATACACATTTTTTTCATCCTTCATCACGCTCATCTTTCTCTGAAGTGTTCTTGAACAGAGACCTTATTTTCCTTCAGAAAATACAGAGCTTTAGCTTTAAGCTTATCTTACATGTTGAGGTTTACTGATATATTCACAGAGTTTCGGATTGTATATCTATCTTTAAAAGGTTACTCTTGTAACTTTCTTTGAAAGAAAAACACATTCATTTCAATCTTGTAAGAATGTAGTACACTCAGTGTTCTTGACTCTTTGAGTATGATTGAGAATCAACTAAAGGGGGCAAGGTTTTGGGCTTGGAAAGTCTGTATAAAATCTGTAGAGGGTTGCTCCATTTGTGAAGAGATTGCTAGCACTCCTATGAATCTAGAAGATAGTGAAAAATCTCAAGTGAAGCATAAGGAGTGGATGTAGGATTGGTTGAAACCGAACCACTATAAATCTGTTTGTCTCCTCTTCTCTTTTCTCCTTTATTTCCTTACTAATATAGCAATCTGATATACTCATTATGTTCATTTTGTTATTGCTATACCTGCCATACTATTTGCTATTATTGTGCTAAATATCTAATCCTTGCAACTAATATAGCTATTTGATATTTTGTGTTTTCTACTTCACTTCATTTGACAAAATCTATGTGTTAACCTTACGTCACTGATATACCTTTCACAGCATTAGTTGTTTTGTGCAAATCATCAAACCACTTTTCTAGCCTCATATAGCTATCTGTTATCCTCTTCCATTGTGTGTTTGTGTTCATAACTTATTCATCTAAAATCATCATCTATTAAGGCAAAACTCATTTACTACACTCTTGTTTAGCTACCTCACTGTTAAAGTCCTCATTGTGCTCAATCAATTCATTAGTTATTCATTTTATATTTGTTGATCATTTGCTACTAGTTGTAATTTTTATTGGGGTAATATTAATTGTAATTTTGTAAAAACTTAATTCACTCCATCTCTTATGTTGCTTTTTGGGTAACAATAAATATAGAGAGAAAGAAAGATGACGATGCGGTAAAAGAAAGAAAATAATGATCACAAAAACCTAAGGTTTTAGAATAGGGGCTAATGGTGTCTTATTGGTCCAGGAAGGGGGTTAGGGTATCATGGTGGCGGTGGTGGTGGAAGAGGGAACTAGGGTAGGGAGATGGGTGGAAGGGGGGTAAGTAAAGGTAGGGGATGGTGGCGTAAAAGGTGGCTGGAGTTGAGAGAGGATAAGGAAATGGTGGAGAGATATGGAGTTGTCAATGACATGAAAAAGGTAAAGGATGGATAACGGACGACTGAGAAGAATAGGAAAATGTAGACAATGGCTAAAGAAGATGGAGAAGGGAGAAAGAAGATTGAGAAAAGGGAGGGAAGATGGTAGAAGTGAGAGGGGCAAAAATGTAAATCTCACTCTTTTTTCTATAGCTTTAGTTTTCGCATATCTTTAAGGGCAAAATAAATAAAATAGAAAAGAGATATTTACACACAAGACCTAATTTATGAATTTATATTTCATTAAGTTCTAATTAAAATTTTTTAGACTTTTATGTCCCATTAAATTTTTAATACTCGGAATTGTTCTTCAAACAATGATTGTTTGTCATTTATGATTATCTATAAAGGAATATGATAATTTGACATTTATTTTGATTTTTAAAACTTTAAAATATCAATTTTCAAATTGAAAAAATTAAAAAAAAAATTATGTTTTGAAAAAATTGAAAAAAACTAAATTATTTTTTTGTGCAAAACTGAAAATTTTGTGTCTATAAAGGAGCATGATGATGGAACATTGATGTGCAAAAATGAAAATAAATAAAAATAAAAAACTTTAAAAATGAAAACAAAAATGATAATGTTCTCAATTTTAAAACTGGAAGAAACTGATAATGTTTTCGGTTTTATTAGATAGTTGAATCGAACCAATCACTAGAAAGACCAAAAACGTTTAATCTCATGCTCTTATTTTTTTATCAATTAGTAAAACAATTATCTAGAATATTACTACTCCTTCTGTCCCAAAATAATAGTCTTTTTTAGGGAATCTAACTTTTTTTAGTAATACAATTATTGCACTTTAAAAATATTAAATTTTCAAAATTATCCTTTGATAGTATATTTTTTTTGAAAATATCAATTGCCATAATTGTATTTTTTGTATTAATGAATTTAAAAGAATGGCAAAATAGAAATTTATATTATTTTAGCCCTTGATTTTAGAAAATGAATTAATATTTTGGGACAATTAAAAATGAAATCAAAGACTAATATTTTGGAACGGAGAGAGTGTGTAAAATTAATAATATTCTTAGTTTAAAAATTAAAAAAAAAAATTGATAATATTCTCAATTTTACTAAATATGACTTGTTAATTAAAAAATTTTAAATAGGACTTGAGCTACTATAATATTTATAAATAGGACTTTTAAGTAATTAACTCAAAAGAAAATTATATAATCTCTTTCTCATTTTAAGTTACTAATTCCTGATACAATTTTATTATTAAACTGAGAGTTTACTTTACTGTCTTATATGTTAAGATCACGTAAAATTATAATATAAATTTAATTTATGCATTTGTAGTATGTAGAAAATAATTACTGTTATGCATTGTATACTTCACAACAAACTTTTCAAACTAATTTTCTTTTACGTACATAATATATAAATAAAACTTTCTTTATCATTAAAACACTTCACCCAGTCGCAAAACTCAAATGCTATTATGGGGATATATTTTTTGAGTCCCAACACGTGGTCAAGGTGACGCCGACGTGTAAGCTGAGATGCCACGTGTCCAGGTTGTGACGCCGAGGTGATCCCGGTTAGGCCGAAGTTGTCTCCGAAGATATCGGAATCCGAGATAAGCGGATAAGGCACAAGAGTCCTAAAATGAAGAAGGACTTTAGCATGGATAAAGATAACACTGTTAGGGAGTTTATCTTTATCTCTTAGAGAGTCCAGGATAAGTACTGAGCAGAAGTCCATTGAAGCTAGGCTTCTATGGGGACTAGGATTGAGTTAACTATAAAATAAAGGCACCCCCTGATGGGTCTAAGGTACGCAATTTATATTCTGAACAGTGAGTTTAGCACTATTAATTATTTTTGAGAGATATACTGACTTGATCGTCGGAGTGCCCCCCGATGGGCGAATTACCGCCGGAATCTTCTCTTTCTGTTGCAGGTCAGCCAGGTGTCATCTATTCTGTCAGTACTCTCCAGCTAATACTAAATTGGCAGTGTGATCGGAAATTCACTCACACAATTTGGTGCCGTCTATGAGAAAGAAAAGAGAATAGATGGCCAGTGACGGATAGAAAGATAAGGTTGGGGATGAAATCCCTGCTGAGAGTGGAAAACACGTTGACCCAAATGTGGAGGAAGATGGTCGCAATGAAGAGAATCAGAACCAGAATCACGGCAAGAAAGACGTCGGCCAAGATGGCGACGCGCCAAAGAAACCAGATCGAAGCGGATACTACAACGAGGACGACCTCCAGGTATGGAAGGATAGATGCATGAGGAGGGACGAAGAGGTAAAAGAGATGGAAAACAAGTTGGCAGACCTGCAATCGGTCATCAATTTTATGATGCAAAATAACGTCATGCAGCCACCATTCCTGCGTTCCTGCTGCAAGACACGCCGATTCCAGCGGCCAATGCCCAGAAAGGAGGGCAGAAACCAATCCCAATAGCCCCTTATCACACCAGAAGCCAAAAACACTCTCACCAGCCTTCTAGGGAGGTCGGGCGAGGAGAGTCGAGGAGAGAAGAGTCACAAAGGACATATCGCACTAAAGAAGCAGACCCCAAAGAACATCGGCATGTTCACAGGCAGGAGTTGCGTTTCGACACAACTTATGGAGAAAGATTGAAAAAGGCCCACAACGAAGCTGTGAGTAGTATGCCGAAAAGACTGATGTCGGGAGATAGCCGAGCTCTTGGGCAGTGCAAGGAAGACCTGAGAGATTACCTCAAGAGGAAACAACATAATGCCGATGCCGAAGTAACTTCACCTGTTAAGCCGAGAACACCATTCTCGGTAGAATTGGACAAATTTGAGGTGCCGAAGAGATTCAGTATATCGAGGTTCCAAATATACGATAGTAAGTCAGACCCCAACTTCCACGTTGGATTATAATTGAACTCAATGGCATTATATAGTGGGAACGAGCCGTTACTCTGCAAAGTGTTCCCCTCATCCTTCGGGGAGATTGCATCAGATTGGTTTCACAAACTACCAAAGGGAACTGTGAAGACCTGGGAAGGCCTGGCCGAGATGTTTGTGGCCAAGTTCGTGACAAACAAGCTGCAGCCATTAAGGGTGGACGCATTGATGGCTCTGAAGATCAGTAAGGATGAAGGCCTTAAGGCCTATGCAAAAAGGTACTATGAGGTGTTCAACCGAATACCAGAGCGTAATCAAGAGGTGATGGTCGTATCTTTCAAGAATGGCCTAAAAGACGACTGTCCACTACGAAAATCTTTGGCAAAGACATTGCCAAAAAGCATGGAAGAACTTATGGCGAGAATCGAGAAGTATGCCAGAGCCGAAGAAGATACATCGGG